TCATGAACAGAGGAGCCTGGCGGGCTACCGTCCATGGAGTCACAGAGTCAGATCTGAGTTAGCGACTAAACGACAAGTGAGGGTGCCATAGGGCCGAGACTGCAGAAGATACCATGATGAATGACCAGGCTCTTCCTTCTGGGGTGCTGACGGTCTCACTGAAGAGTTATTTCTTTAACTGCCACAAGTTCCAGATATTTAGGTACTATGGGTCAGTAAAATGTCCCCTCCCCACCAAATTAGTAAACCTAAGGATTTTGAAGGTTGGCCCCAAAAAAGACATTAATAAAGCAATTTGCCGTCAACTATCACCATCGTGTTAACATGTTAGCACCTGAAAAGTAGGCAGGGCATAATGTCAAAACAGAAGATAGTCGTTCACATTGCAGAAGTAAAGCTTTATGAAAAACTCGCCCCACTGAGCTTATGTTTCCCCAGGGAGCCTGGGGAAAACTAGGCTTCCCTTGGGACCCACTCACTGGTCTGTCTGACCCATTCGGGTCTTGTCTTCCCTCAGGGATCTGCCCCAGGATGCCCACGGCCTGAGTGATCATTTGGGAGTGGCAGCTCATAGGCAAGAACGCCTTGAATGACCCAGGATGGTGGGACTGTCCCCCAGGGATGTATTAGTGTCCATTTCACCCTACTTCTATCCTGAGTCCGCACTGGGTAGAAAGAGCCCTGGCCTCAGAGTGGACAGAAATACAGTAGGTCTAAGTTCTGGCTCTCTCCCCTCCAGCCACATTATGAACACCATTCTGGTGAACCTCAGTTTCCTCATCTGTAAAATGGGTTTCCAGTGTACTCTTGCACAGTGCTTATAGGAGTTCAGTGGGATGGGGCATCCCCAGGCCTGGCAGGGGCTAGGTGCTCAGGTAATGCTCTTTGCTTTTGTCCCTTCCTCTTGGGGCATGGGGCAGCCCATTTTCTCTGCCTCTGTGACGCTGAAGAACCTTATTGTTCCTCAGTCTTCTTCCTGTTATCGAGAACAAAATCATGATGCCCTCCGTGAAATCAGGCTATGGTTCTCGGTCCCAGTCTCGCCAAAAACCTGTGATATGCCCTCCCCCTGTAGACCTCACTTGTGTGTGTGTGTGTGTGTTTGTGTGTTTTGGGGGGGACTGTGCCACTTGCTTGTGGGGCTTTAGTTCCCCAACCAGGGATCAAACTCAGGCCCTTGGCCATGAAAGCACAGAGTCCTAACTACTGGACCACCAGGGAGTCCCTGGATCTCACTTTTTCGCGGCTATAAAGTGAGTTTTGAGCTCATTGATCCCGGAGAGCCTCCAAGCCCCTGGGTAGGGCTGATTCGCAACATCCTCGCTGTTAAGGGGGTTTGAGGGGAGGATGGTGGAGAGGGGCGTAGCCTCACCCTCTTTGCCAAGGCCCTGCAAAGGGAGGAGCACGTGGATGGGACCCTGGAGGATTTTTCATATCAACCTAAGGCCCTCGTTCCTTGCACCCCCTCCCAGACCCAGGATAACCACCGCCGGCGACTGTCAGGGAGAGAGTCCTCTCCCTGCCACGCCCCAAGCCGCCCCGTCCGGCAGGAAGGCCAGGGGCCCTGACACCGTGCAGGGGCTGGTGGCCGCCAGAGCGCTCATGCGGAAGCTGAGGCCGGTGTCTTGATTCCAGGGCAGGCTGCCTTGAGTCCAGTCCTGGTGACATTTCCAGCTAATCTGCCCCACACCCTGGGTGGGTGCCACTTGACACCTTGGGGCTATTCTGGGGAGCTGAGGCAGGATTTGGAGCCTCCGGGAAATGTCTGGAGCCCAGAAGCCCTGAAACAGATGTCGCCTCCCCCTCCCTAGAGAAGATAGAGCCGCTCTGGGAGGCAGAGCCCTGGGCGGGCCGCAAGCCTGCTCCCATCTCCTCAGGAGCATCCCATTGGAATCCAGTTAAACTGGACCTTGAGGGAAGCTTTGAAGGGGAGAATTTCTTGAGGAATGGCTTGTAACTTGAGGGAATTTCTGAGCGAGGGCAGCAGGGTGAGGAGGCTATTCCAACTGACCATGAAGTTTTGTCAAGAGTCACAAGAGAGAAGGTGTCAAAGCACCGTGGGAAGTCGGGAGGTGGGTGATAAGGGAGCCCGATTATGTGATTTCATAACAGGAAGTCAGTGAAATTTGTCCCAATTGAATAAACCGAGAAAAAAATAATAGGCCTATTATTCGGTATTGTAGAGCTTGCCTCAGGCAGGTGAGGGGACAGGCTAAACAAGGAACCCCTGGGTTTTTTTAGAAGCTGTTTGGTACTCTTTTTGATTTCTTTTTTTTTTTGCACTTGTGCAAATATTACATCGATAACAAAAATTTAATGTAAGAAATTCATCATGGGGAGGTCCATGCCGCCCTGGTGGTTAGGACTTGGCATGCACCGCAGGTTCCGTCCCTGGTCAGGGAACTAAGAGCTGACAAGCCGCGTGGTGCGGCCCAGAATAACAAGAAGTTCATAGTGAAGTTCAGGGAAGCACTCCTGGTTTCTCTCCTGTGACCACTGCTTTCATGGACCACAGGAGCCGTGATGCGGTGGTGCCTTGCAGCCTAGAGACCAAAGCCACAGGGTCGCCAGGGTGGGGAGTCGGCCCTCCTCTGGCACGACCTCTAGAGGAGTGAGTCCTGCGTCTCGGAAGGCGGGCTTCGGTTTTGGAAACAACGCAGGGCGGAGGTCAGCCTGAGACTGTGGAGGACGCAGCCAAGGGCGGGGTCTGGAGCCCGAGGCCCCCTGGCTCTGTACAGCCTGGGGTCTTCACAGTCACTGCCCTGCTGGCTGCCTCGCTTCCTCCTATTTATGGCAGGATGGCTGGGAGGGTGGTGACTGAAGGGAAAACACCTATGGGAAGTGCTCCACTGTCCGCAAACAACTGTACACCCAGGAGAGATTGCTATCCTGAAAAGCACAGAGTGATTCCTGGAGGAGGCTGTGTCTGCAGCAGGTCCCCTGGGAGAAGCTTCAGGAAGCCAGCCTCCCCGCACAGCAGCATTCCCTGGGGAGTATCCCGCTGGCAAGTTCCTGGCTGTCTGGGAGCCAGTATCAATATTGGTCCTCCTTTTGAGCCTTCTACCTCTAACAGTAGCTGGTGGGGCCGCCTTTTCCGCTTTCTCCATAGAATTCTTATCCTGCACCAGCCCCCCAGATCACCAGTTTGCTGACAAGTGACATCTCCAAGTCTGAGTTTGCTCGTCTGTAAAGTGGGAACAATAATCTATATCTCATAGGACTTCCCCGGGGCGCTCAGACGGTAAAGAATCCATCTGTCAATGCAGGAGATCCGGGTTTGATCCCTGGATCGGGAACATCACCTGGAGAAGGGAATGGCAACCCCACTTCAGAATTCTTTTCTGGAGAATCCCATGGACAGAGGAGCCTGGAGCGCTACAGTCCATGGAATCCCAGAGTCAGACACGACTGAGCGACTAAGCGCACACACATAAGACTGGGGCTCCTTGAGAGCAGGCACTGCGGCCTGATTGCCCACCCTGATCCCCGTGTGTGGGGCCTGGAGCACAGTCGATGCTCGGTAGTGATTTGCTGTGTGAATGGGATCAGTGGGAGGAGTTTATATAATTAATTCCTACAGCATCTACCGTGGGGCTGCAGAAGTGGGGATACTGCCTCCCTCTCCCAAGGACTTGGCGCCCTTAGAACCCCCCTCCACCTCCTTCCAGACCTGGAAAAGCCACATTCAGGGTGAGGAGGGAATCCGGCTGTGGGCAAAGGGAGGCCCTCAGTATAATCCCTGACTTAAGAGAGAGAGGGGGCACACCTGCCCGCCCCCCACCAGGGACACAGCTCGGCTGCCAGCAGAACCGACCAGGAACCCGTTCGTTCTCACCCAGCTCCGGCCTCCGTCCAAGTCGTGCTCAGCCTGAGGCCGAGCCCACAGGCCGTCCTCGACCTGGACCCAGCTCGCCTCACTCTGCCTGTCGCTCCCACCACCTTCCCAACAGTTCCCCTGCCTGACCCTCTTGGTCTCTAACTCGGGGACCATGTTTCCCCAGGGGACCTTTGGCAGTATCTGGAGACCTTTTGGTTGTCTCAGCTGGGGGGATGTTATGGGCATCCAGGGGTAGAAGCCAAGGGTGCGGCTAAACACCCTACAATGCACAGAGCAGACCCACAGCAGCAGCTCAGCAACGGTCTGGCTCACAACGCCGGCAGTGCCTGCCGCGCCAATCAGGGCAGCTCATCCCACAGGAAAGCGCCTCGGTTTCCGTTTCACGGCCGGGGCTCAGAAAAGCTGTCCAAGCTGCCCAGTGCCACACAGGTTATAAGCCGAGAACCACGGTTCACGCTCAGTCCTGTCTGATGCTGAACTTTGGGCTCATTTCACTGCCCCACATAGGCCTACGAACAGAGAAGGTGCCTCCCCCAGAGGAAGGACAGCGAGGACCCCACCCTGGGTCCTCTGGCGTCTTGGCCTCTTGGGCACAGTCAGATCAATAGGAGCTGAAGATCCAGTTTTCCACCCAAAGTAAAACCCTCAGTCCTTAGAGGTGGCGTCTAGACCCCCGGGAGTTCTGGAAGAGAAACACAAGTGCACGTGTATACACACACCCAGGACAGGCCAGGAAGGCAGGTAGGGAGTCCCGTGAAAGTTTCCAACATCTGAGCTTTGATTCACACCGAACGCAGTCCATGCTTCAGATCTCCTCGTGTGACCTTGTGACCTTGTGCCCCAGGCACACGCCTTGACCTCGCTGAGCCCCAGATCCGTCTGGTGCGGCTCATCGCTCCCACCACCCCGAGCTGCAGAGGAGCAGCAAGGCGGCAGCAGACCCCAGACCCACCTGGCGGCACCTCCCTGAGCTTCGTGGTCTGCACGGTGTCCACCTGTGTTCCCATCCAGCAGTGGGGTGTTGAGGCGGGGAGTTGGCTAAGGTGACCTCAGCATAGCTCTTCCCTCGGGTGAGCTGCACCCTAACCCCGTAGGGCCCTCCTCCTGTCCCCGCCCCACCCTCTCTGGCAGCCCAGCAGCTCACCCCTGTGTCTGTCCGCAGAGATCTCCCTGGATGTGGATGCAGACCGGGACGGCGTGGTGGAGAAGAACAACCCAAGAAAGGTACCTCAGTCCCAGGGCAGGCAGCCCTGAATGGGGGCTTCCCGGGCCAGAGCCCCAGGCTGGGGCCTGTAGGCAGCCTCAGTCCTCCCAGGAAACTTCGACAACTCTCACTTTACAGATGAGAAGACAAGTTCCCAGACACACACACACCACTGACAGAGTCCACCGAGGAGCAAGCTCCTTAGAGGAACAGCCACGGAGCTGGTCCCCAAGTCTCAGTGGCCCATCCAGAGGGTGGGGACACCCAGTTCATGCGGTTGGTGTAAAGGATGAACGTCCTGCCACAGAGGAAGTGCCGCCAAAGCATTTGCTCTTATTGTTTTGCCTTTTTGGGTTTTTTTGGCCATGAGGAGCAGAAGATTGCAATAATCATTCCCAATTCAAGGTGTGTCATCTCTCTTTTTTTTTTAATGTATTATTTATTTTATTTTTTTTCCCATTTATTTTTATTAGTTGGAGGCTAATTGGCTAATTACTTTACAATATTGTAGTGGTTTTTGCCATACATTGACATGAATCAGCCATGGATTTACATGTGTTCCCCTTGCCGATCCCCTCTCCCGCCTCCCTCTCCCTCCCATCCCTCTGGGTCTTCCCCGTGCACCAGCCCTGAGCACTTGTCTCATGCATCCAACCTGGGCTGGTGATCTGTTTCATCCTTGATAGTATACTTAGGCGTGTCATCTCTAATGATGCAAGCACATCCTCTTCCTGGTTTTGTTTATTCATTTATTTGTTTGTCTGGGCTTCCCCAGTGGCTCAGATGGTAAAGAATCCGCCTGCAGTGTGGGAGACCTGGGTTCGATTCCTGGGTCGGGAAGATCCCTTGGAGAAGGGCCTGGCAACCCACTCCAGTATTCTTGCCTGGAGAATACCATGGACAGAGGAGCCTGGCGGGCTACAGTCATGGGGTCTCAAAGAGTCGGACACGACTGAGCACATTTGTTAATTCATTTATTCTCCTCAATCCTACATTCCTCACTCCCATTCTTCTCCCCTGCAAAGGACCACTTGAATGATTTTAACATGTCACTTTCCGTTCTTGTGATTCTTGCGAAACATGCGGTGTGGTCAGGGTGTGTGTATTTTTAACTTGTGCAGACGGCATTGTGTTCTCCAAGTCGTTTTCCTCACCCCTGTTTTGTTTTGTTTTTAATTTATCTATTTTTAATTGAAGGATAATGGCTTTACAGTATGTGTTGGCTTCTGCCATGCATCAGCATGGGTCAGCCACAGGTGTAGATGCCGCCCCTCCCTCCTGAACCTCCCTCCCCCCTCCCACCCCTTCCCACCTCTCCAGCCCTGGTGTGGGTCCCCTGAGTCATGCAGCACCCCCACTGGCTCTCTAGCTCACGTGTGGTAGTGTGACTGTCACCCCGGTTTTAAGCTCTGCTGGTTTTGCTCTGTGCACTTCTGGGCTTCTGTTTTCCATTTTCTGCTCTTCTAGAGCACTTAGATGTTTGCCATGGGCATACATTACTTTTATAATAACAACCTGTAGCCTGGTTTAAATTATATGGAGATGGATACTTTAAAAAGTAAGTAAATACAGCCCAGTGAGAAGCCTGGGGCCGGGCAGCCAGTTCCAAACTCTCCACGCGCCTCTGGGGGCTCCTCGGGGCTGCACGGGAGCCCGCTCCCCGAGGTTCCTGGTTGCCCAGCCCTGCCTTCCTGAGGCCGAGTCAGCCCCACAGATCTGTGCCCAGTGTCTGCAGCCACACCACGGCAGGTCCCAGGGCACCCCTGCTTCCCCCGAGGAGCTGGGGGGTCACCCAGCCCCTGTGGCCCTGGACTTACCCTGACTTCCTTCATCTGGGCCAGTGCAGTTTAATGTCTTCTTCATTCATCTCATAAATACTAAGGTTATTGAAGTATGCTTGATTTACAGTGTTGTGTTAGTTTCCGCTATACAGCAAAGTAACTTGGATCCACCTGTATGTTCTTTTTCATGTTCTTCTCCATTGCGGTTTATCACAGAATGTGAATACAGCACCCTGTGCTAAGCAGTCAGACCTTGTGGTCTAGCCTCCCTGTACATACTAGTTTACGTGTGCAAATCCCAAATTATCAGTCCTCCCACCCCACCACCTCAGCAACCACTAGTCTGCTCTCTGTATCTGGGAGTCTGGTTTTTTTTTGTAGATGTGTTCATGTGTGTCGTATTTTAGATTCCGCATATAAATGGTATCACTGGTGTTTGCCTTTCTCTTTCTGACTTCGTATGGTAGTCTCTAAGCCATCCGTGTCACTATAAATGGCATTGTTCCATTCTTTTAGTGGCTGAGTAATATTCCACTGTGTGTGTTCCACACCCTCTTCATCCATTTGTTGTTGGTGGACGAGTAGTAGTTTCCATGTCTTGGAGACTGTGACCAGTGCTGCGGTGAACATGCTGGGCATATATCTTTTCATATTATGGTTTTGTCTGGGAATATCTCCAGGTGTGGGACTACTGGATCATGTGGCAACTCTATTTTTAGTTATTTGAGGAATCTCCGTACTTTTCTCCACAGTGGCTGCATCAGTTTACATTCCCACCAACAGTTCCCTATTATCCACACCCTTTCCAGCATTTGTTATTTGCAGACTTTTTAATGATGGCCATTCTAACCAGTGTGAGGTACCTCATTGTTGTTTTGATTCATACCATAAATATTTTTTCAACATCTCTTATGTTTCAGGACTGGGTCAGGCCTGGGGGATGTCAAGAGAAGGAGAGACAGGCAGCCCCTGGCATCAGGGAGCCTGCAGCCCAGGAGGGTCGGGGGGCACGTTAAATGAAGAGTGACTCTGGTGGCGGTTTCATCACAGTTGTCCTGAGTCCGCCCCAGAAGGAACATGTACAGTGTCCTAAGTGTGAACCCAGGGAAAGCTGCTTTGGTCTAGAATATCAGAGAGGCTTCCAGGAGGAAGGAGTGGTTATGCTCTGTGACCAGAAGGAGGGGTGGAGTTGGCCAGGTGAAGCGAGACAGGACCACTTTTCAGGCAGAGGGACCAGCACTCGAACGCTTGAGCTTGGAGTCTTCTGGGAGCCGGGAGGCGGCCAGCGAGGGGGAGGCAGACAGAAAGAGAGGCCAAGGTGGGCAGCTCTCACAGGGGCCCACAGCCCACAGTGAGGGCCGGGAGCTTCATCCCGAGTCACCGGGGGCCCTGACAAGGCATGGAGCAGGGAAGCAACTCGATCCGGTTGGAGTGTGTCCTAATATCACTCTGGCTGCAGTCTTGAAAAGGGATCACCTTACAGGTCCCTCTGGGAGAACTCAGAGCAAGTTTGGAACTCGCCGGGAGTCTGTTCACCCAAGAGCCCAGAGCCCCTCTGGGTACGGCTCTTTTCCTTCCAGTGTTATTGAGATATACTTGACACATATCACTGTGTATGTTTAAGGTGTACAGCAGGATGGCTTTATTTATTTATTCAGGCTGCATCGAGGCTTGGTTGCAGCACTCGGGATCTCTGTTACCTGCGTGGACTCCCTCGTTGTGACTCATGGACTCCCTCGTTGTGACGAGTGGACTCCCTCGTTGTTACATGCGTGAGCTCTGTGGCTCACAGCCTAATGATCTGACTCACAATCATCATAAGATGCTCACCGCGCTCAGCTCCGTGTAAACCCATCATCTCACACAGATGCAGAGCTGTTGTTGCTCAGTCACTCAGTCATGTCCGACCCTCTGCGACCCCATGTACTGCCGCACACCAGGCTTCCCTGTCCTTCGCCATCTCCTGGAGTTTCTTGAAACTCATGTCCATTGTTTGGGTGAGGCCATCTAACCATCTCATCCTCTGTTGCCCCCTTCTCCTCCTGCCCTAAATCTTTAGAAGTAGAAAAAAAGTTTTCCTTCTGTTGGAAACACTTAAGATTTCCTCTCTTCACACCTTTGACTTGTAACATACAGCAGTATTTTTCTCTCTCTGACTTATTTCACTTAGGGTCATCCATGTTGTTGCAAATGGCAAGATTTTTTTTTTTTTTGTAGTTGAGTACTATTCCATTGTGTATATGTACTGCATCTTCACTATCCATTCATTATTGATGGCCACTTAAGTTCCTTCCATATCTTGGCTATTGTAAATAATAGTGCAATAACATAGGAGTACATATATCTTTTCTAATTTGTGTTTTTGTTTTCTTCAGATAAAGACCTAAGAGTGGAATTTCTGGATCATATGGAAGTTCTATTTTTAATTTTTTGGAGGAATCTCCACACTTTTTTCCATAGTGGCCGCACAAACTTATGTTCCCACCAACAGTGCCCAAGGGTTCCCTTCCACCTCCTCGCCAGCATCGATTATTTGTTGTCTTTTGTTGTGATAGCCGTTCTGACAGGTGTGAAATATTTCATTGTGGTTTTGATTTGTATTTCCCTGATGATTAGAGATGTTGAGCATCTTTTCACGTGCATGTTGGCCATTTGTATATCTTCTTTGGAAAAAATTCTATTCAGCTTCTCTGTCCATTTTTAAAATCAGGTTGTTTTTTGACCTTGAGTTTTATGAGTTCTTTGTATATTTTAGGAATTAACCCCTGATCAAGTATATCTGTTACAAATATCTTCTCCCATTCAGTAAGCAGCTCTTTTTTGTTGTTGATAGTTTCCTTTGTTCAGCACAAGCTTTTTAGTTTGATGTGGTCCTGTTTGTTGGTTTTGCTTCTGTTGCACGTGCCTGAGGAGATATTAAAAAAAAACCCATTACTAAGACTGATGTCACAGAGCACTCCGCTTGTGTTTCCTTCCAGAAGTTTTCTGGTTTCCAAGCTTACATTTAAGCCTCTATTCTAAGTTTATTGTTGTGTATGGTATTTGTAAGAAAGAAGCCCAGTCTGATTCTTTTGCACGTAGCTGTCCAGGTTTGCCCAGCACTCTCTGTTGAAGACACTGTCATTTCCAGGTATAGTCTTGCCCCCCCTGTTGAGGACTGGTGGCCCGTATAAGTGTGACTTCGTTTCCGGCTCTCTGTTCTGTCCGTTCATCTCTGTGTCTGTCTTTGTCCCCTCACCACACCACTTTGATCACCATAGCTTTGTCGTATGGTCTGCAGTCAGGGCTTGTGCTGCCTTCCCTCAGGGCACCCTTGAGCCGTCATGAAATGTCTGCCTGTCCATTTCTCTGGCTGTCTTGCCTTGTCTCCCCCGCCCCACTCCAGGCAGGGGCACACCAGATGTGAGGCTCGTAATGCCTGAGCCAGCCTTCTGTATCTGCCTCTGCCCATGTCCGTCCCACCCTGAACCCGCCTTCGGTGCTAACCCTGACCCTCTCCAGGCATCAGACGTAGGGCTCGTGTTCGCCAGGTCACAGCTGCCCCCTGGCTGCTCCCGAGCCTCGCCCTGGGCTGCCTCCCCAGGGCCCTGTGGGGTCTGCACTGAGGCTGGGGACACCTGAAGAAGCAGAGGAGACAGCGCTGACCTCTCTCCTCACCAACACAGGCATCCTGGACCTGGGGTCCTGAGGGCCAGGGGGCCATCCTGCTGGTGAACTGTGACCGAGACACACCCTGGCTGCCCACGGAGGACTGCAGTGATGAGAAGGTCTACAGCAAGGAAGGTGCACGGGGTCTGCGCTCGGGGCTGGGGGTGGGGGGCAGGGGGGGGCAGGGGGCGCTCATGCCAAGTCTCGGGCAGAGGGGCAGGCAGGTGTGACCTTGGCTCTCCTGAGGATTGGACTCAGGTATCCACTCTTGCTAAGAACAGATGACAAAACTTATCAGTATCATTCGGTTGGACTGGAACCACACTTTCTATGAAGTTGCACGTATGTTACAAAACGGAGCAGAAGGATGTTCCAGATACGTTATGGGAGGTCATCTGTGATATTGGAGATAGCTACTAGTTTTTACGCTTTTCTGTAGTTTCCATAATATATACATTTGGGAAGTAACAGGCCAGCATTCCAGCCACAATTCTCCTTTGTTTTGTTTTGTTTTAATTGAGATAGGGTTGACAGACAGCACTGTGTTAAGTTTAAGGCACACAGCATAGTGATTTGATTCTCATACATCATGGAGTATCACAAGAAGTTTAGTAAACATCCATCATCTCATATAGGTACAAAATTAAAGAAATAGAAAAAAATTCTTGAGAGGAGACCTCTTAGGATTGACTCTCTTAACCACCTTCATGTGAGACACGCAGCAGTGTTTGTGAGATTAGTCGTGTTGTACCTCACATACCTGATAACTGATAACTGGAAGTTTGTACCTCCCGGGTACCTTCATCCAGTCCCCCCGCGCCCCAGAGCGGTTCTCTCAGTTCCAACCTCCTCTTGCCGCCCCCAGACCTGAAGGACATGTCCCAGATGATCCTGCGGACCAAAGGCCCCGAGCACCTCCCTGCCGGCTATGAGATCGTCCTCTACATCTCCATGTCGGACTCGGACAAAGTGGGCGTGTTCTACGCGGAGAGTGAGTGTCCCAGCCGCCCTCCAGCGGCTCCTGCCCCTCGGGGAGCGTGCTCCACCCTCTAAGGCTCCCCAGAGCCCCCTTAGTCATCACGGGGGCAGGTGGCGGAGAGTTCCAGCACTGGCCTCTTGGTAATGGACCAACCATCAGCCAGGGTCACCGTGGCCCTGTGAAGTCAGGGCCCCAAGGGCGCGGCCTCTCCGCCCTCAAGGAGTCGGCGGTGACAGAGTCACGGGGCCGGAGGAGCGCCTCGTGAACCGGGGCAGGAGGGGCTTTGTGAGTCACCCTTCGCAGACTCACATCACCTTCGTGACGCCTGAGGCAGGTGCCCACCCTCTCCCCCTGCCAGGTGTTTTCTGCTTATCTGGGACTTTCTGAAAATGAGAAACTGCCCCCAGCTTTTTGTTTTTTGGCACGCCAGGTCTTCACTGCAGCATGGGGGACCGTTAGTTTCAGCACGTGGGCTCTGGCTGCCTGAGCAGGGATCAATCCTGGGGCCCCTGCAGGGGAGCATCAAGTCTCAGCCACTGGACCACCCAGGGAAGTCGCCCCCCGCCCCGACTTTGAAAGAGCCCCTGATGGTGCTGTGGGCACCCTCAAGGAGCAGACCCCTTGCTCATCTTGTCAAGAACAGGGCATCCGGGCCCCCGGTGTGGGAAACATGCTTCTGTGAGGGGCTAGCGCCGCGGCTGCCCTCTCTGTCTCATTCCTTCTGTGACTGGGTGTTGAGCCCCTCTATGCTGGGTGCTGGTCTCAGCAGCAGGATCCCTGGGTCAGCTCCCTGCCCGCAGGGAGGGAGGGGACGGCCTGTGAGGGAGACGTCGCGGGGAGAATGACGAGGCAAGGACACAGAGTGAGTCGGAGGGGACAGCAGGCGGAGGCGGGAGCCGCTGGCCTGGAGGGTCGGGGGCCCCTCCAAGCAGGCGACGTCTGAGCCGAGACCCAAACCGGCTGAGAAGTGCTGAGTGCTCAGTCGCTCAGTTGCGTCCAACTCTCTGCGACCCCATGGACTGCAGCCCGCCAGGCTCCTCCCTCCATGGGGATTCCCAGGCAAGAGCACTGGGGTGGTTTACCATGCCCTCCTCCAGGGGATCTTCCCCACCCAGGGATCGAGCCCGGTCTCCCAACAGTGAGAAAGAACCAGCCCTTCCCGAGCTGAGGGAAGAGTGTCGCAAGCAGAGGGAACCGTGTGTGCCAAGCCCGGAGGAGGGGACCGGTTTGGAGCACGGGGGCAGACAGCAGGCCACAGCGAGGGATGTGTTGGGGTTAGGGTCAGTGACCTGGGCAGGGGCCAGGGCAGAGAGACGGCTTGCACTGACTCCAGGTGCAGCAGAAAGCCGTTAGAGGCTTCTAAGCAAGCGGCTGTCTACCTCCGATTTGTGTGGTAAAAAGCTCTCTCAGCAAAATAGTTCGCTTTGCGATTTGCCGTGGTGCGGGGTGGAGCTGCCCTGTGTGCCCATCCCTCCGGGAGCCTGGGGTCTCCTAGCTCTGGAATCCACCTCGGAACAGGCCCACTCAGAACCGGGGCAGGTCCCGGCGGCCCCGGACCCTCACCTCCAGGAGGGGTTTCGCCAGGACCGCAGTGGACAGCTGCCGCCTGAAGCCCGTCCTCCTGATCCGCCCCGGGATCGGGCAGTGACCTCCGCGGGCTGGAAGGTCCCCAGTCAGGCCGGCTCCACAGCCCCAGGGGGCCCGAGCCACTGCTGTTTACCCCATGCAGGCCGGGGTTGCCACAGTGGGTGGGGCTGCTGGCTGGGGCGGGAGGGGTACGGGCAGCCCCCAAGGTCACATTGTGCTACCGGCGGCCCCTGGCCGTGACCTGGAGGCCTTCCTGAGGGAGGCGGTAGGTTGAGGTCTGACTCGTGATTACCTCCGTCCCCTACGCAGCCTTCCGAGCTGGGCCCTGAGCAGGCGGGAGCCGCCGCTGGGAGCGCTCTGCCGCGCCGTCCCCAGGCTGTGTTATCAGGTTGCCATATCATGTGGGGGCACGCCTCATGGACACAGCGATGAGCCCGGGAGAGTCCATCTCCCCAAAACCGAAGCCCCAGGTTGCAACAGCTTGAGGTCTCTGTCAAACTCCAAGTGCGCCGTGGATGAGGCTGTGTGCTGTTACACGAATGTCACGTGTCACTCATGTTCCCCAATGGCCGGGGGCTGTGCTGGGGGCTCAGGGACCCTGAGAGGGGTTCTGGAGCCCAGGGTGCTCAGATCCTGGGTGTGGGCAAGTCTCCTCAGCAGGCCAGGCCTTGGGTACCTCATGTGGGATGTCACGCGGGGCTAAGGAGAGGCCTGACTGTACCCCCTGGAGACAGAGATCAAATAAGAAATGTGTCAGCACTCAGTAGCCGGTCCGTGGAACGCTCCCCATAGATGACACTTGCTTCTTTCAGGGGGTTGTTATTGTGATCGTTAATTACAGTCATTGACGTAGACAGTCATTAACAGGCATCCCCATTGCTGTTAGGAAGACCCAGGAGTGTGTACCCCAGCCTCGGATTCTGCCCTCGGGTCTCAGAGGTCAGCGCCTGATCTCTTTCTACAAGGCTGCAGTGACCAGCTTGTCCCAGTTTGCCCAGGACTTTCCTGGTTTTTGCACTAAAAATCCCTCATTCTGAAAAGCCGCCTCAATCTTGTGCAAACCAGGACAGTTGATCACACTATCAGAGTCTCCTTGGGAGGTGGAATGACCCCACACTGACCGGAAGGGTGATGGCATGTACCAGCCTACGGGCCAACGCCTGGGGCTAAAGAGAGGTCAGGGTGCCCGGCAGGGCCAGCCCGAGGCATGTGGGCCGTGCCATAGAGGGGCATTGTTGGTTCCTGCAGGGGGAGCTGGCCACGCGGAGGCAGGCCTGCGTCCAGCTGGAGATGGGAGACAGGGGAAGGAGGCTCCGGGGACAGTGGCTGATTGTTCCCACCGAGTGATCCATCTGCCCGGAGCTGGCCCGAGATACTGCGGGCCACAGACAGAAAAGACTACATGCAGATGGGCCAAAACGAGTCCTTCTACCCCGCCCAGCTCCCCTGCCAGAGCCCCACCCTCCCAGGCCCAGGGGGAGCCCACACACACACACACACACATCCCACCTAGCTGCCCCGAGCTATGGGAAAGTTCCGGAGCTTTCTGAAAAGACAGGTCAGCTTCATGGCCTGAGATCACTTTCCCAGCATCAGTTCAAGTGCAGCCTGGGACACGTGGTCATGGGAGGCCCTGGGTCCCTGGGGGAGAATTGTCCTTAATGATGCAGAGCCGTCTGGACCTCCTCGGTGGTTGGGACACAGGGCACATGTCTTTTCTGCATGAGAAGGATGTCATCTTTTACACTGAGCTGTGAGAAAGCCCTTGGGACACGCAGTGTCTCGGTCTGTCTTCCTCATTTCTTGGGCCAACCCACAGAAAGGGAGGTGAGGTGTTTCTTCTTTGCCTTCTATTCCTAAACCATTCAATGAGATGATCATGAGTTTTTCAGTAAAGGGTCTGCCGACACATTCACAGGTTCTCATACAGTAATACCGGCGGGTCCCAGCTGTGTAATCACTCGTTACCCCTGGTTACCAAGCTTGCCTCAGTTCCTAATGCTGCATCATTTTATCTTGCAAGGACCCTGTGGCAAAAGTGTTACTGTCTCCCATTTAACAGATGAATAAACTGAGGCTCAGGAAGGTTAAGTGAATTCCCTGGGGTTTTGCAGCTTGAAAGCTAAAGAGGTACTTGAACCCGCATCTCTCTGACTCTGGAAGTCACAACCACTAAGGTCACCCGCCCTCAGAGAGATGCACGTATAACCAGGATCTAATTGAGCGCCTTGTCCTACATGAGACGCCATCCTGAGCCCAGGCTTCACTGGTTCCTCTGTTCATTTTGCGTGTGTTAATCAAGCGCCCTATCCATGCCGTTCTAGTCACCTGTTGTAGCCCTCGGCTGCCTGCTCATTAATCGTTCCCTTTGTTCTTGACGACAGTACTAAGCTGAGCCTGACTCTGCCCTTCCAGCTCGGCAGGGCATAAAGAAACTTCTCCTGGAACTGCATAGGGTCCTACCTCCGTGTGTTTGGCAATGCAAGTATCCCATCTCCTCGCTGTGCCCACTTCTGCCACCCCCAAGGGCATCTCAAAGGCTGCCTTTCTCTGCTCAAATGCCTCCCACCCCCCTCCCTTCTTCTGCCTCCCAGTAACGCCTCAGGCTCACTCACCGCAGAGCTCTACCATGATGCTTCCCTCATCTGCGCGATCTTATCATCAGCTGAGCCTTTCTGGGGTCCGCTTCTTGACCCTCTCTGTCTCCCACAGAGGTCCTTGCCCATGTGGTCAGAGAGCAGTGACTCAGTACATGCGCTCTGAATTGGCCTGAAGGCTCTCCCGTCCGGAGTGACGTGGGAGCACTGGTGCATTCAGTAGATGTTTATCAAACACAACCTGCACTGGGCCCTGCCGGGCCTGTCTCAGCCATCGCGCAGGTGACAGGCTCTGGGGGCCAACAGCTGAACACTGAGATCATGTCCGTTTAAGGGCTGGGACAGGGAAGGCCGGGGGTGCAGACGCTGCAGACGGAGCCCCTGACTTGGTCTCTGGGGGATCTAGATGCGGTTCCCAGAAGCAACACATCAAGACCTGAAAGGAGGGAGACAAGTCTTCTAAGCAGAGGGAACAGCGAGGAGCCAGGAGATCTCAGTGGCCTAGGAGTGTGGGAGGAACCGCCTTTCCTCCCAGCCACACACGTGTGCAACCGGGGAAAAAATGCACCGCGAGAAACCAGCCTTTCCTCCCAGCCACACACGTGTGCAACCGGGGAAAAAATGCACCGCGAGAGACCCCCGTGCTGATATGGAGGGGAATTGAGGGCACAAGTGGGCGTTTTCTTCATATAAACGGGAAGAGAGGTTGGGGATCAGAATCAGGGATTTGAGTCCCAGCTCAGCTACGTTCTGGCTGTATGACTCCACCTGAAAGGAGGGAGACAAGCCTTCTAAGCAGAGGGAACAGCGAGGAGCCAGGAGATCTCAGTGGCCTAGGAGTGTGGGAGGAACCGGCCTTTCCTCCCAGCCACACACGTGTGCAACCGGGGAAAAAATGCACCGCGAGAGACCCCCGTGCTGATATGGCTCCCTCTGTATGGAGGGGAATTGAGGGCACAAGTGGGCGTTTTCTTCATATAAACAGGAAGAGAGGTTGGGGATCAGAATCAGGGATTTGAGTCCCAGCTCAGCTACGTTCTGGCTGTATGACTCCAGACAAGCCATTTTCCCTTCTGGGACTGCTTCCTCCTCCGTAAAATGGGAACAGAAATTCCCTTCTTCGCCACCACTGGCTGCCCAGTCCTCAGTTTCTCTCATTTCCTGTCTCCTTCCTGGGGTGAGCTTACTCCCTTTATAGCTGGGGAAGCTGGAAGCCAGGGAGGGTGTCTGGTTCGGGGCCACAGGGCTAGGGTCCAGCGGGGCTGGCACGATGGCCAGGCTGCGGCCCTTCCGGTGGCATTTGCCGCTTGTGCGTCCTCTCTGCGTCTAGAGGACAAGGGGCTTTGCCCCATAGGTGGTCCCGCCCCACGGTCGGCTGGGGGAGCTGGGCCTGACCTGGGTCCTTCTTCCTCCAGACCCCTTTTTCGGCCAGCGTTACGTCCACATCCTGGGCCGGCGGAAGCTCTGCCACGTGGTCAAGTACACAGGCGGCTCCGCGGAGCTGCTGTTCTTCGTGGAAGGCCTGCGTTTCCCTGACGAGGGATTCTCAGGCCTGGTCTCCATCCACGTCAGCCTGCTGGAGTACATGGCCGAGGTGAGGGCCTCCGCCGGGAGGGGCTCCCCGGGACTGGAGCGGGCTCCCTTGGAGCAAGTCCAGGCTTGGAGATCTAACTGCTCCCCCCACGCGCACACACCTGCCAGTGTCCTCCGCTCCGCCTGGCGGCCCTCCTCACTGTACCTCCTGCGCAGGGTGGCCTTCGGGTGTTTCTCTGACCCCACACCTGTCCCCAGGCCTGCCTGCCCCCTGAGGTGTGCGTGAGTGTGTGTGTGTGTGTGTGTGAGTGTGTGTATGTGAGTGTGAGTGTGAGTGAGAGTGTGTGTGAGTGTGAGAGTGTGTGTGTGTGAGTGTGTCTGAGTGTGAGTGTGAGTGAGTGTGTGTGTGAGTGTGTGAGTGTGTGTGAGTGTGAGTGTGTGTGTGTCTGAGAGTGTGTGTGAGTGTGAGTGTGTGTGAGTGAGAGTGTGTGTGTGTGAGTGAGTGTAAGTGTGCGCGTCTGTGAGTGTGTGAGTGTGAGTGTGTGTGTGTGTGAGTGTGAGTGTGAGTGTGTGTGTGTCTGTGTCTGTGTGAGTGTGAGTGTGAGTGTGTGTGAGTGTGAGAGTGTGTGTGAGTGTGTGAGAGTGTGAGTGTGTGTGTGAGAGTGTGAGTGTGTGACTGAGTGCGTGTGTGTGTGAGCGTGTGTGCGTGTGTGAGTGTGTGTGTGTGACTGAGTGTGTGTTAGTGTGTGTGTGAGTGTGAGTCTGTGTGAGTGAGTGTGTGTGTGAGTGAGAGTGTGTGTGAGTGAGTGTAAGTGTGCGCGTGTCTGTGAGTGAGTGTGAGTGTGAGTGTGTGAGTGTGTGAGTGTGAGTGAGTGTGAGTGTGTGTGTGAGTGTGAGTGTGTGTGAGTGTGTGTGTGAGTGTGTGGGTGTGTGTGTGAGTGTGAGAGTGTGAGAGTGAGAGTGTGTGTGAGTGAGTGTGAGAGTGAGAGTGTGTGTGAGTGAGTGTGAGTGTGAGTGAGTGAGTGTGTGAGTGAGTGTGAGTGAGTGTGTGTGTGAGTGTGTGAGTGTGTGTGAGTGTGAGTGTGTGTGTGTCTGAGTGTGTGTGAGAGTGTGTGTGAGTGTGAGTGTGTGTGAGTGAGAGTGTGTGTGTGAGTGAGTGTAAGTGTGCGCGTCTGTGAGTGTGTGTGAGTGTGAGTGTGTGTGAGTGTGAGTGTGAGAGTGTGTGTGAGTGTGTGAGTGTGTGAGTGAGAGTGTGAGTGTGTGTGTGTGAGAGTGTGAGTGTGTGACTGAGTGCGTGTGTGTGTGTGCGCGTGTGTGCGTGTGTGAGTGTGTGTGTGTGACTGAGTGTGTGTTAGTGTGTGTGTGAGTGTGAGTGTGTGTGAGTGAGTGTGTGTGTGAGTGAGTGTGTGTGAGTGAGTGTAAGTGTGCGTGTGTCTGTGAGTGTGAGTGTGTGAGTGTGTGTGAGTGAGTGAGTGTGTGTGTGAGTGTGAGTGTGCGTGAGAGTGTGAGTGTGTGTGAGTGTGTGTGAGTGTGAGTGAGTGTGTGAGTGAGTGTGAGTGAGTGTGTGTGAGTGTGTGTGTGTGTGAGTGAGTGTGTGTGTGAGTGTGTGAGTGTGTGTGAGTGTGAGTGTGTGTGAGTGAGTGAGTGTGAGTGTGAGAGTGTGTGTGAGTGTGAGTGTGTGAGTGTGAGTGTGTGTGTGTGAGTGAGTGTGTGTGTGAGTGTGTGTGTGTGAGTGAGAGTGTGTGTGAGTGTGAGTGTGTGTGTGAGCGTGTGTGAGTGTGTGTGTGTGTGTGTGAGTATGAGAGTTAGTGTGAGTGTGTGTGTGTGAGTGAGTGTGTGTGTTAGTGTGTGTGAGTGTGAGAGTGTGTGTGTGTGAGTGTGTGTGTGAGTGTGAGTGTGTGTGAGTGTGTGTGAGTGTGAGTGTGAGTGTGTGTGAGTGTGTGTGTGTGTGTGTTAGTGTGAGTGTGTGTGTGAGTGTGAGTGTTAGTGTGAGTGTGAGTGTGTGTGAGTGTGTGTGTGTGCGTGTGTGCGTGTGTGTGAGTGAGTGTGAGTGTGTGTGTGTGAGTGTGAGTGTGTGTGAGCGTGTGTGCGTGTGTGTCTGTGTGTGTGTGTGTGAGAGTGTGTGTGTGAGTGTTAGTGTGAGTGTGTGAGTGTGTGTGAGTGTGAGAGTGTAAGTGTGTGTGAGTGAGTGTGTGTGTGTGAGCGTGTGTGCATGTGTGTGAGTGACTGTGGGCTTAGGGTTGTGAAAAGGGGCTCAAGTCAGGCTGCCCGGGTCTGAGCCTGCGAGACGCTGGGAAAGTGAGCTGACCCCGTATGCCTCACTCTCCCTACCTGGAAAATAGAGATGACAAATGCTTCTGCTTCCTGGGGTAACTGTAAGCATCCAAGCTTGTTACTCATTCACAAAGTGCTCTCGAGTCCCTGGGAGGAGGGAAAGGCAGGGAAAACGGCGATAACGAGACAGGGTGGGGAGGGGCTGCTCCTGCACCCCCAGTGCCTACAGCAGCCTGGCCATCAGGGTCTCAGAGCGGCCCCTCCAACAGACAGCAGCAAAAGGCAGACCCGTGCGGGAAAGGCCACCCCCATGCTCCCTGCCAAGGGCAGGACACGGTTTCCTGTAGCTTTCCAAAGCCAGCCATGAGAAGAAATCTTACCTCATCTTCTCTCAGGTTCCAGGCAAGCTTCCCGAACCTTTCCTTAAAGAGAAATCTGGACAGAGCAAAATTTCCCCCAGTAACGTTAAAATGCTCACATGTAGAAAAGACCAAGGTACCCAGAGTAAACACAGAGGAAAGCCGGGTCTGACTCAGTCACCACATGAGCCGATTTCAGGAAAAGAACTTTGATGCAACGAGATCAGATAGCGGTTGAAATTGGACTCAACGGCCAGACTGTCGGGCTTAAATACAGGCTTGCCCCCTTCCTGATCACTTGACCTTGGACAGCCATGTACAGTTTGTGAGTCAGAGGTCTGTGACTTGGTTTTCCCACCTACAAAACAAGGATTAAAATAGTATCTACCCCTGAGTATGGCAGAAGTGAAGTCTCACCTGTCAAAACAGGACCTGGCATACAGTAAGTGCTCAATAATGTACTACTATTGGGAAAGATTGCGGGCAGGAGGAGAAGGGGGCAGCAGAGGATGAGGTGGTTGGATGGCATCACTGACTCAGTGGACGTGAGCTTGAGCAAGCTCCAGGAGATGGTGGAGGACAGAGGAGCCTGGCGTACTGCAGTCCACGGGGTCGCAGAGAGTGGGACGCAACTGAGCGACTGAACAGCAATTACTGGTCTCCCGTAGTGATTAGACAGGAGGGAAAGGCACCCTGACAAGACTCCTGACCTCTGCTCTCCCACGCCCAGGCGATCCCTCTGACGCCCATCTTCACGGACACCGTGACGTTCCGCATCGCTCCGTGGATCATGACCCCCAACATCCTGCCTCCCGTGTCGGTGTTTGTGTGCTGGTGAGCGGCAGGCACAGTGCAGACGGGCAGAGCGGCCAGAGCTGAGGCTTCAGGAGGGGTCGTGCTTGTTACTTCTCAGCTGTGTGACCTCGAGAAGCTCACTTGGCCTCTCTGTGCCTCTGTTTCTCTGAGATGGTGACATCACAGAGCCCCTGCGAGGATTAAGTGGGATGAAGCAGGCAAAGAATTCATCAGGGTCCTGGCACAGAGTTCTCTTGTGCTCTAAAAATGATAGCTACCTTTTCTTTCCCGTATCTTTTGGGCCCTTGCCATATAGTAGGGAACTCTCCTCTGTGATGGATATCCCGCTCACCTTGTTCATCCAGCAGCTTTTCGCTGAGCGTGTTACGTGCTAGAGGCCCCATGAGACTAGGGGCAGGCGATGCTGGCCACACGCCCCTGTGTGCTGAGCCATCCGCTGCCTCCGGGTCAGCTTAGCTGTTCCTTGGAAACCTGGGAGTCAGAGGTGGAAGGCTTTTGGGAAGCGGGGTGAGAATTCCCCTCCTCGCTTTGTCTGTCCATGACCCTGGCGGACACTGCAGGAAGGGCTGAGTTTGCGCGACCCTTGACTCCAGCAGCCTCTGCACAGGTGAGCACAGAGGGGCTTCATCTGCCCCGCAAGGCCCGGCCCAGGTGCCCGCTGCTGCGCCTCCCCCGTGGCGGGCCTGTGCCTCCTCACGCTCCCTCCTGCCTCTCCCTCTTGCCCACGCTCCTCAGCATGAAGGACAACTACCTGTTCCTGAAAGAGGTGAAGAACTTGGTGGAGAAAACCAACTGCGAACTGAAGGTCTGCTTCCAGTACATGAACCGAGGAGACCGCTGGATCCAGGTGAGGCCCCCCAGGCTGGGAAGGACGCAGCTCAGGACTCAGGCCAGAAGAGGCGGCTTAGTGTCAGCACCCTGGCACCCAGCTGCTCCACACATGTGAATTCTATGTCAGATCACACGTGTGCATATGCACGGGGTCTAAACACGCCAGGCGACTCATTGCAGCTTCTTAGAGGAGCAGAAGGCTGTGAAACAAACGAAACGTCCGTCCTCGTCCTCGGGGGAAGGGGGCGACCGTACGACTGGATGGCCTCTCTGTGGAGTACTATACAACAGAATGAAGCCAATCTGTAAATGCAGTATGGCTCTCAAGTTAAAGTGTTCCTTGCAGGAAGATGTACACAGGATGTTTCCAGTTATGTTTTAAAGCGGGGTCAGTGAGTGCAGGCACACGGGGGTCGTGCAGAGACTGAGGGGGGCTGTGTAAGAAACCACGGCTATCGTGTGCGTGGGGGGACTGGGCAGGCCGGCTGGAGTTCCCCGGGGGCCCCCTGGGCTCACGGGGCGGCTCTTCCCGCTGTCCCCACAGGATGAAATCGAGTTCGGCTACATCGAGGCCCCGCACAGAGGCTTCCCCGTGGTGCTGGACTCCCCCAGAGACGGAAGCCTGAAGGATTTCCCGGTGAAGCAGCTCCTGGTGAGAGGCTGAGGGCCGCTTGCAGGACGGGGTCGGGGCGCAGCCCTGGGACCGTGCTACGGGGTGGAGCAGGGAGGCCTCAGGCACCCCTCTGTCCCCGGGACCCTCCAGGCAAGAGCCCTGGAGTGGGTTGCCGTTCCTTCTCCAGGGGAGTCTCTGACCCAGGGATGGAACCTGGGTCTCCTGCATTGCAGGCAGATTCTTTACCGTCTGAGACACCTGGGAAGCCCCTTGGCAAATTAGTCTGCTGCTTCCATCTTCTCATCTGCAGAATGGGTCGTTGGGACAGTAACCTCCAACGTCCTTTCCTGCTCTCATAACTGGTACCTTTCCAAAACGGAGAAGTGAGAGCTGTGGCAGGCAGAGACCTGCCCCTGCCCCCACCTCCAACCTGCAGCAAAATACATTTCACGGAGGAAAATTATAAGCAATTGTTGAAAAGCATGGTTCCAACTTCAAAGCTCATTAAGGCTGTGATTTTTCAGTTCATGAGTTTAAGCAATCTAACCCCCACCCTTGATCCTAGAGGTCATTACCGCTCTCCTTTAATGCCCTCAACAACCAGCTGAATGAGGACAGAACCAGAATCAGTCTTCTCTGTCCTGACCTTCTGCCCTGGACAGGCAGGGGAGCTTGGATGGAGCATGAAATGTAGGTTAGGGGTCTCCCAAGGTACCATGCAAGACAGCCTCCCATGAGACATCAGAGCTGCTCAGAGGCAGCCCTTCACCAAGTCCACACCTGCTGCTCGAGAACATTCACTAACCTCGTCCCCTCATCACAGGGAGATGGCAGAGCCAGCGGTGTGAGCACACAGCTCTAGAACCCAGATGCAGCTGGCCTTGAGTCCCGTTTCCACCCCTTAGCAGCAGCATGACCTTGGGCAAGCAGCAACCTCCTCAAGCCTCAGTTTGCTCATCTGTGAGATGGGGATCGAAACGGTATCCATCTCACAGACTTGCTGCGAAGACTGAAGGCGTGATCTAAGACACCCGTGCTGCTCCCGACACAATGACTATTATTAGCTGTTGTTCTGGTTCTCATTCCACGGCCCTGAACACTGTCCTCAGTGCAGACTGTCCACGTCCTCCAACACGAGGGGCAGTCAAACTGGTCAGCAGGTGCCACAGGCCTGAGGACCGGGGCCTCTCAGATCCTGTTCTCACTTTCTCCCCGGGTCACCACCTGCCTGCAGTGTTCCAGGCTGGCCTGGCACCAGTGCCCTGGGCTGCATTGTTCCTGGAGGCCCGGGCCAAGCCCGGCTCTGCGCTGCGTGCCTGCCCGCCTGTGTAAGGCTATAAAACCCCAGCTGCCCCAGCCTCTGGCAGATCACACCTTGCCATCTGGGGCTCCCAGGAGGGAAAGCGCTAAGCTGCAGCCATTCGCCCCTCTGGGCACAGCTGTCCCTTGAGCCTCTAAGCTGGGCCAGGATAAGCCATGTCTTCTCACTCTATGATTTTTATTAGCAAGGATGTTTGTCAGACAAGCTTCGTTCCAGCCCCAGTGCAACCTCTCAAGCAAGATCCATACCTTTTTACCAAAAAAAAATCAAATCATGAAAGGAAACTTAAAATTCAGGGAGTGGCAGCGGCTTTACCACACTCATCACAGGGCTGCATCCTGTAACTGCAGTCTGTCAGAGCTCTGTGCTGAGGAGTCTGAGGCTGCATCTGGGCTCAGTGAACAAATATGGTTGGTTGGGGAGGGGTTGCAACTGTATATATGTTACTTATCTGATGTTCTTGCACGTATTGGTCAGCTTTCACTTGGTAAGACTGTAGTAACAAACAGCTCCCATCCCTCAATAGCGAACATCAGCAAAGGTCGGTTTCTTGCTCGCATTAATAGAGGAATAGGCATGTCAATGGCACAAAACAAAGACCAGTCATGAAATCACCAGTATCTCTCTGTGTCAATGAACAGGAGTTTGAGTAAACTCCAGGGTTTGGTGATGGACAGGAAGGCCTGGCGTGCTGCAGTCCATGGGGTCACAAAGAGTCAGACACGACTTAGCAACTGAACTGAACTGAAGTGACTCTCTGTGTTTAAGAAATCAAGACAGATGCAGAGGCTCAGATGTGTGCACGCACACACACACACTCATGTTTACACTCATACCGACGTGCTCACAGACTGAGCCTCCGCGCGCCAGGCTGCTGCTCTCAGTGGGAATAAGAAGCACATGGGTAATCCCCCGGAAGATGAGTGCTCACAGGGCCAGACCAAAGGTGATGGAAAGTGGTCGTCAGGCGGTGGCTGGGCTGGGACTAAGGGCTCCTGGCCACAGAGGACTAACCACGAGTGTGTGCCCCCTGCCCAGGGCCCAGATTTTGGCTATGTGACCCGGGAGCCGCTCTTTGAGCCTGTCACCAGCCTTGATTCCTTTGGGAACCTGGAGGTCAGTCCGCCAGTGACCGTGAATGGCAAGACATACCCCCTGGGCCGGATCCTCATCGGGAGCAGCTTTCCTCTGTAAGAGAAGCCAGGGAGGGGCTGGAGAAGTGGGGGGGTGAGGTCAGGGGTTGGGGGGTAGTTGTCGTTTCTGTTGGGGCAGACTGGGTTGCTCAGACATGGAGTGATCGGCTGGAGAATTAACCTCGCCCGTGACGGACAAGATACAGACATTCTTGGAAAGAAAATCAAGTTAGCCTTTACATCTTAGTATGAATTAGGATCTAACATAAAGCTGAATAAATGAGCCTCTTCCCCAAATGGGAGGGTATATAATGAGGTTATAAATAAGGTGGGGAAGGGATGCAGGAGTTAGAGAAGGAACAGTACTGAGAGAAGATGAGTGGGGGCCCGCCAGCAAACCCCCAGGAAGCCCACACACAAGACACGTGAGAAGCCACGGCCGGCCCTGAGGCCTGAGTCCCTGGCTCTCCGGCCTGTCCACACACCCCCGTCCCTCCCCAGGTGGCCTACCAGCCAACGAAAAGGCAGGTTCGTCCTTAGTTAGGGCAGTCACTGGGGAGGACGTGAGTACCGTGGGTCCTCACTTCACCAAAGGGGCCGCCAGGAACCTGCACGTATGGGGCCAGCTGGGCTCTGGCTCCCTGTGGGCCACAGGGATGCTTGGGCTTCTGAGAGGAGGCCACTGGCACAGTGACCATCTTCCCCCTCTGCCCACTTTCCCCCTGCTCTCAGCCATCACCCATCCATTCAGCAGGTATTTGTGAAGCCTATGACGGGCATGTGGTTTCAGACATGAAGCCCAGTCCCCCCTTCCCAGAGATGGTGGAGATAACTGGCATGGAGATAACCGGGGGTGGGTGCATCCAGTGACAGGATAACAGAGCCAGGGAAACCCAAGAGGAGCCCCTGGGGGAGCCCCTCGGGGGAGCTCAGGGGGCTTCTTAGAGATGAACATCTATGGAGGGTCTTCTCTGTGCTAGGCATTGTTCTAGGCTCTGAGGAAGCAGCCATGAGCAAAACAAAGTCCCAGCTCTTGGGGAGTTTTCAATTAGGGATCAGGGCAACATAGAAAATAAACATGGAAGCCAGCAAATAAGTTAGATGCTTCTGGGTGCTAATCAGCGCAGTGAGGAAGATAAAATAGGTACATGGTAAACAGTGACAGGCCAGGGGCACTCTGGCTCTTGTGGTTTTAAGGAAATGACTCTGGAATGGAGGCTTGAGTGATGAGAAGGAAGCAGCCATGGAAAGATCAAAGGGAAAGTGCATTCCACATAAAAGGAACAGCCAGGGCAAAACCTTCAAGGTAACAGCCTTAGCCCCTGGCTGGATCAGACAGAACAAGGAAGAATAAGATGAAGTAGGAGAGATAGGCAGGGGACAGATCAAAAACGAATCTGCCAGCCACTGTGAAGACCTTGGGTTATCGCATGAGGGTAATGGGGAGATTGAAGACCTCGGGGAGCGTAGAAGTCAGGAAGGGCTGCCTGGAAGAGGCATCGCTTGATTGAAGGTTGAAACTGAGAAGTTCCTAGCCAAGAGGGACATAGGCAGGGGCAGATTTTGGAACCCTGCCTGAGCCTTAGCCCCCTCCAGCAGTCCTGAGCACAGAAGCTGGCCTCCCTATGCCCACTGACACCCTCAGGAGCTAAAGGCCGGGCCCCCTGCCCTTCACACAGACCATGGCTGCAGCTGGCACCTCCTTCTTCCCCCCGGCTCAAGTGCCTTTCTGCCTGTGCCAGTGTCTCTGCAACTCAGGCTCCTTCTCATGACTTTTCTGCTGATGCCATGCTGGGTCCAGGCTGGCTTCCAGGCGCTGAACTCCTCCTGCAAGCCCTCTGGCGGACAGGCACCACGGGCAACCTTCTGAAGAACTGCCCCTCCCAACCCCACCAGGTCCGGTGGTCGGAGGATGACCAAGGTGGTGCGGGACTTCCTGCAGGCCCAGCAGGTGCAGGCGCCCGTGGAGCTCTACTCAGACTGGCTGACCGTGGGCCACGTGGATGAATTCCTGACCTTCGTCCCCATCCCAGGCACCAGGGTGAGCTGACGCTGAGGCTGGAGGGAGGAGGCTAGTGCGGAATCCCTGTGCCGCCAGCTCTTGTCAGCAGCGGGGGCGACCTGGAAGTGGAGTGTACAGAGGAGGAAGGAAGTAGGCTGAAGCTGGCTTGTATGTTGTTGCTGTGGCCAGTAAATGTTTAACCCAATAAATCTGAAGTTTTAGCATTTCAACATGTAACCATTATAAAAATTATTAATGAGAGGTTTTACATTCTTTTTCCATACTAAGCGTTCAGAATTGGTGTGTGTTTTATTGTTCACACATCTCCACTAAGACCAGCCACAGTTTAAGGGTCCAGTAACCCCACAGGGCTAGTGGCCACTGTACTGGCCGTAATGCCCTAGAGAGCAATGGGATTTGGGCCTGGGGCCCTAGAGAGATTCTTTCATTTTCTGAAGTGAAAATAAATGTCTGCAACTTAATACCCTGGAAATCTGGAGCAAATGGCTGAGCCTCTTGGCCCCTTGGAGAAGCTCTTCATCTCTGCCCAAGGTCACCTTTTACTCTGAGCTTCAACTCAACTGCATTGCTGAGGCAGGAAAATTTTTGTAGCAGGAAGGGTGAGAAATAGTCCTCTGAAATAGAGACAACCTGCCAGGCAGCCTTCGCCGCTCAACACGGGTGGCGTGAGACGATATGCAGTCAGGCCCCGGGTCCACAGTGCAGGAGCCCCCCACGCGGCTGGGCCACCTGCCCCTTGCTGACCGGCCGGCTGGACGGTCTCTCACAGAAATTCCGGATGCTCATGGCCAGCACCGCAGCCTGCTATAAGCTCTTCCGAGAGAAGCAGAAGGAGGGCCACGGGGAGGCCATCATGTTCAAAGGTGAGTGCCCACGGGGCCCTGGCAGCGAGCCGGGCCCCCAGGGGGGCCTTTGGGAGGACGGGGCCGGTGAGCGCTTTGACCCCAACACCCAGCTCCACTTCCGGTCGTCCAGCCCACTCCGAGGCCGTGGGGTCACCCTGGCGGGAGGCAGCCCTGGCCTCTGCGCTGTGGTCAGCCCCACCTCAAGCCGCCCACTGCCCCTTATGATCAACGACAGTGGTCCGAGGTTCTTCGGGACCCAGTGTGGGACGCTTCAAATGGCACCAGCCCCCGAGGAGAGTTAAATGGTTCAAAACTGAAGTGCGATCTGCATTCTGGGACCTTGTGTTTTGGAAGGAAGCTAGAGAAGAGCATACACACTGCGGTTTAGGGGCAGGAAGAAGAGTGAGAGCTCGCAGACACGATGCAAGGTCAGACGGCATCACCGCTAGTCCCAGAGTGAGAAATCGTCTGCTTCATTCAGGCATCCACTTAATTGAGGCAGACAAACTGGGATGAGCTTTGCTCTTAAATTAATTGTGGAAAGAAAGAAAGCTGATGAGGCAGAGACAGTGAGCCAGGTTAGAGACACCATGACCGGTTGTTAAGTGTTTTTCGTAGATTACTTTTTGTCACTTTTCAGGTTGGCATCTCTAATCCACCTACTCCCAAAAGTCTGTATCCCTCAGGCTGGTTGATACTTACATACATGACCACCCTCCTGTGTTCCTATTGGTGACTGGTGACTGGGACGGACAAGATGAACTTAAGACCACTATCCTTTTTTAATTCCCACCAATAGGAAATTTTTTTTAGATTGGCAGGCATGAGTCTCAACTTTCTGGAAGCTTCCTTCTACATTAACCCCTCAAAGTTACCCATAGGGTACAAGAACTATTATCTTTGTACAAATAGGTCCAAGGGTTGGAGACAGCTCAGCGATAGCCCCCATCTGCCACTGTCAAGCTATAAGACTAGGAAACACAGTGCACCCGCGTCAGAGGGGAGAGGAGTTAATAGCTTAGGCTCTGGAATCAGACTTCCTGGGCTGCTTACTGGCTCAGCCACCAACTGTAAGACCTCGGACGCGTCATGGGACTTCTCTGTGCCTCCGTGTCTACATCTTTAATGCTAGAAGCTACCTGATAGAAATGGGTGGGCAGAAGACTACTGAGTTAATCCGAGTGAACATCTAGAAGACTCCCTGGTACATAGCAGGTGCTCCCTAAGCATTGGGTATCACCAATCAGAAGCCACATGGGCCACCACAAAGGGGACAGGAGGTGGATGCAGGCTCAGAACAGTAGCGGGGCCAGGCATGAGGCAGGTCTGAAACAGGAGGGTGTCACCGCTTCTGCCGCCCGCCCCCTGGCCTGCTGCTTGTCCTTGGAAGCAGGCCTCTTGTGCCACCCCACCCTCTGGCCAGAGAGAGAGCGAGGCAGCAGCCCCCTGCTTCCCTGGTCCCAGTGACATGGCCAGCCCTGGGGAAAGGAGCGTCCACGGGGGCTGCCCTCCCACGCTCCTGCCTGTCCCTGGCCCATCGCCCTCAGCCTGAGAGGTAGCCCAGAAGCTGAGAGTCTTGGCAAAGAGGAGCACCAGGCTGGACATAGGCCGTCCCCTGTCCTCTGACCCCACAGGCCTGGGCGGGATGAGCAGCAAGCGCATCACTATCAACAAGATTCTGTCCAATGAGAGCCTCGTGCAGGAGAACCAGTACTTCCAGGTGAGCACAGGGCCGGGGCTTGTGGGAGGGCAGAGGCTGCGACCGACGGCACCTGTCACGTCCCTGGGGCTGCCCTCGGGGATGGCGAGGAAGCCAGGGCACAGGACAGGGGGACGGGCCTCCCAGCATGCGGTCCGCCTTCCTGGCTTACTCCTGTACCGGAAGCTGAATGATGTGGCGGCGGGGGGACGTGCAGGTCAGCAGAGGCTGGAAGCAGACAGGAGACCAGGAAGACGCATCAAGCAGTGCTCAAGAGCCGAAGGTTCTGTAAGGCTAGAGCCCGCAACGTTTGGGGGAGGCCCACAGACACCAAAATATGAAAACCACAGACCTACTTCCCAGGAAAACTCTTATATGAAGCTATGCCCTGAAGTTTTATTTTTCAGGGGTCACAGATTCCTGAAGTTTTCTATCTATGGATGAATTCTACTTTCTGAATCCCTCAATCTCAAAATTGTATCCAGAAGTAGAAACCAGTCAACAGGGTCCTATTTAGTTGAATTAGATCTCTCTTTATTTGCATGGGCATATTTAAAGCACCAAGTTAAAAAAAAAAACTCAGCCGTGTTTACACAAAAGGGCATGCCTGGCTCATACCAGGGGGAAGCTCCGCAGTGGCGTGGATTCAGGCTCAGGTTGGGGAAAGCTCCGCAGTGGCGCAGGTTGGGGAAAGCTCCGCAGTGGCGTGGATTCAGGCGCAGGTTGGGGAAAGCTCCGCAGTGGCGTGGATTCAGGCGCAGGTTGGGGAAAGCTCCGCAGTGGCGTGGATTCAGGCGCAGGTTGGGGAAAGCTCCGCAGTGGCGCAGGTTGGGGAAAGCTCTGCAGTGGCGTGGATTCAGGCGCAGGTTGGGGAAAGCTCCGCAGTGGCGTGGATTCAGGCGCAGGTTGGGGAAAGCTCTGCAGTGGCGTGGATTCAGGCGCAGGTAGGTCCGGGCTCTGGCTTACCTCTCTGCGCTTCTCGGGCTCTGCAGGTACCCTCATGGCCGGAGCTTAGCTGCAGCAGTTCAAGGTCTCCCATCCACCCCCCATACCATCCAGAAACAGAGAGGTCTTATATGCCCCCAACAATTAAACAAAAGCCTTGCATTTCACTCTGATTGTGCCAACCTGAACCAATTCTTGTAGCCAGAGGAATTCCATATCCTGATTGCCTTAATCCTAGTTTATTACCCATCCTTGACTTGATCCCTGGAACAAAGAGGTAGGGGCACTAGCTGTGAAACCCAACCCAATAACTGGCTGCTACTTTTCAAGGGGAGGGGTGGAGTGGATTGCTGGAGAAGCAACCCCAAAATTCCAAAAGTTCCCCAAAGGCTCACGGCTGTTTGAAAGTTAACTTTATCACGACTCCTCTCTGTTGTCATTTTTTGGCATCATGTAGATCTGAGGTCATACCATGACCCCTCACTTTCGGCTAGGACTCTGGGCCACTCACTAAGGACCCTGCGTCTTAGGTTCCCTCATCTCTAACACTCATGATGTGTGCGCTCAGGCTCTCTGTGACCCCATGAACTGTAGTCCTCCGGGCTTCTCTGTCCTTGGGATTTCCCAGGCAAGAGTGCTGGAGTACGTTGCAATTTCCCCCTCCAGGGGATCTTCCTGACCTGGAGATTGAACCCGTGTTTCCTGCGTCACCTACCTTGGCAGGAGGATTCTTTATCACCGAGCCACCTCATCTCTAGTAAGGGGATACTGATAGTGTCCACCTCATGAGATTGAGGTTGAAATAAGTGACGTATGTAAAGCACTTAGAACATACACTTAGGGTACTTGTTCATATTAGTTTTTATTATTATTAATCAAAACCATTGTCGCTGTTATTCTTACCACTGGGGTGGCCTGAGGATTCAGCGGGATACTGCATGGCACGCACTTGGGGTCCGACTCGTAGCTGGTGATCAGTAAAAGAGTACTGAGTGTCATTTCTGTGAGCTTCTGGTGTGAGTTCTGTAACTTTCTCCCTCGTTCTCTATTACTCGTATGGGTGGGAGGCGCACCAGAGAGGTGGCCCCGTACTGGAGGAGCCCTGCAGGCTCCCTGGAGTGCTGGGGCCCCAGGTCTGATGCCTCAGGCAGGGGTGAGGTGGACAGTGGTGTCGGGGTGCCCCTCACCCCCCTGCCTTCCCTTCTTCCCCATCACCCAGCGCTGCCTGGACTGGAACCGCGACATCCTCAAGAAGGAGCTGGGACTGACGGAGCAGGACATCATCGACCTGCCCGCCCTGTTCAAGATGGACAACAGCCGCCAGGCCAGGGCCTTCTTCCCAAACATGGTGAGGTGCTCTGAGCTCCGGACCTCACCCGAACCATCAATGGGGGTGGGCTGGACCCAGAGGGACCCCTCGGCTGAGGCTGGCCGATCGCGAGGTCCAGGCCCCAGGCCCCAGGCCCGGCTGAGCTGCTGTGTGGCCTCCCACCCCGGCACTCACCCTTCTGGGAGGATTGCTCATCCTGGTTGCCCCCTGGGGTCCTGGGGGAGCCTTCACCTTAACACAGTGGAGAGTGCTTTGTAAATTCAAAATGCCTCTACAGACAAGAGAGATTCTTGTTATCATAGAGGAGAGTCTTCTATGAGCTAGAAAGAGGTTAAACACACACACAGAAAAGTAGATGTGTATACACACATGAAAACACAGGTACACGCATGCCTGCAATGCACACACTGATGCATACATATATAGCTGCATGCACATGTGTGTCCGTACACATACATACAGAGGCGGGTGCTAGGCTTTCCACTTAGCTCTGCTGTGTATGGGGTGCTTAGCCCTCTCTGAGCCTCAGTTTCCTCATCTGTAAAGTGGGGATGATCACAGTCCCTAGATCACAGGGTTGTTGGAGGGTTTGGAACAGGGCGGGGCAAAGCAGGCGCTCACTAAATGTAACTGCGGCCCCATCTCCCCGTCCCAGGTGAACATGATTGTGCTCGACAAGGACCTGGGCATCCCCAAACCGTTCGGGCCCCAGGTGGAGGAGGTGTGCTGCCTGGAGACGCGTGTGCGCTCCTTGCTGGAGCCCCTGGGCCTCTGTTGCACCTTCGTGGACGACATCTCCGCCTACCACAAGTTTCTGGGCGAGGTGCACTGTGGCACCAACGTGCGCCGGAAGCCCTTCGCCTTCAAGTGGTGGCACATGGAGCCCTGAGCCGCCCGGGGCTGCCGTGAGCGGGTCGCAGCCCGTCGGCTACCCGTGCTGGGGCTGGACCAGCCTCTGTGGTCCTCAGTGTGATGGCAGGATGCCCTTCAGCAATAGCCATCAGGGAACTTGGGGGGAAACGTTCCTACTTTCAATTTTACTTTTACTTACAGGACCTGGAAATTAGCTGGCACACCTGGGGCCACACAGCGAGGTCGTGGGAGGAGAGAGAACACCCGAAACCGGCTTCTGCTCATGCGGGAGCTGAGGGTGGGGGTCTCGTTTTTCGAGGGCTTTCTCTGTCTTGGTGAGTTTTAAATGGAAGAGTGGAAATTTAAAGCAAGGGAAGAGGGGGGAACAAAGGTGACCCCAATTGTCAGTTATCAGAATCTACTAAGATCTCTAGAAGAAAGGGCCTCAGTGAGGGGAGACGGCCTGGCTCCTTACCTAGTCGCGTGGCTGGCAACGTGTTTACTCAAGGTCACCGTGTTTGGAGTGAGTACTCAGCAACCAAAGCTGAGTCAGGCACTTGGATATCAAAAAGGAGGAAACCCAGCTGTCGGGGCTGACACACAGGGGCCCAGGGGCCCCCTCCCTCCCTGACTTCTCCAGACTTCCCCAGAGCACCCCCTGCCTGAATTGGACTGCAGGCCACCACTGAGGGGCCTTCAAGCAGTGGGGAGGGGTTTGGGGTATCCGTGCCTTGCCCTCTCTCAGAAGGGCCTCAGCATCCACAATGTCACCTCCCCCTGTGAGCCTCCATTCTGACCTTCCTGAAAATAGCTGAATGTTTGGCCAGAGTCTGTATAGCCCTGATGTGAAAAACAAACAAAAAATCCCAGGACCCAAACCTTCCCCCAGAATCTTTAGTCTGTTGTCCAAAACTGGATGAGAGGAGAAGGAAGGAGGTTCTGGGATGACCAGTTTGCCAAGTAGCCACACCCCGAGAGTCAAGGCAGCCAGCTTGGAAAAGGATTCTGGAAGCCAGATGTACCTTGAACTGCCACATCCTTTGAAATTCACTGCCCTTGGGGTGTCCAGGGGGCCGCCCCCATTTATTCATTCCTCTCCAGCCTGCCTCAGATGCCCTCGGCTTGCCCTCTGCAGTGTAGGTACCACTGGCAGCCCCCGACTCCCTGAGGGTCCAGTCATCAAGCTCAGAACCTTTGCTAGAAGCAGATTTTACCAGCACAGCCTTCTCAGTTTCCAAGACGCTCCTTCTGCCTCATCTTTCTCATGGACCCAGGCTCTCCCAGATGTTTGGGAGTTCCTCCCCACACCAGCATCCTTGTGGCCCAAGAGTTCCTTGTACAAAGATGCCCCAGGGGGAGCCATGTAATCCATCTTTTCTGCCGGGTTCTCAATTCTCTGGCCGCCCCAACCCCTCTCCTCTCACGGCCTCTACTTCCTGCTCCCATGCCATCTCTCCAGGCAGCTAGACAAGGACTTCATCCCCGCCAGCCAGGCTCAGACCTCCCCACCGCAGGACACAATTAGAGACCCACCTCTCCTCTCCAGATGTCAGGCGCAAGACATAAAGACCCTGCCCTAACCTCCAGCCTGAACAGCCAGTTCTGGGCCAGCTACTGGCCTTAGAGATGGACCGATTACCCCCACTGAAGTTTCCTGGTACATTTGCTGAAAATCCTTTCATTTGGACATAATCAGATTCATTTGCTGGCTCCCACTGAAAAGACTTAGTTTCAGCTTTAAAATTTCCTTTTAAGGGCAGCTGACTTCAGAGAATAAGTGAATTATAATTCCACTTTGAGGGTTAAAAAGGAGCTGATTTATAACCAATGAAAAGTTTGTAAATTTGGATTCCTGAAGAATTGAGATTTTCTTCTTGGATTATTCACTCATTCAACAAACCTGTATTGTGTGCCTGAGTACCAGGCACAGTGGTGGGCTCTGAAGGTACAGGGCCCAGTAGCAAACAGGGTCTGGCCCTTGCCTCCAGGAGGCAGCCACCCGCATTTAAATGGCCAGCATTTGCCCTTTCCGCGATGCGCCCTTTAGAAATACCAGTTTACTATATTCAGGAAATGAACAGGATGCAGAGCTTCCACAAGTCACTATCTCAGTGAAATGAGAGGGGCAGGTCTTCTTTAAACAAGCCTTCTGCCCGTCCAGCTGGACCAGTACTCCCCCAGCAGATGAGACCCCAGCGCCTTCAGAAGCTGTTGTTCCTGCTTTGGGAACAGTGGCTTCTGCCTTTGGGGGCCCAAGCCCCAGGTTTCTCCAACCCCAGAGCTGAAGACACCAAGTGCCTATTTGTGAATGTTTATCTGGAGACTTAGAGTTTGCTGTGTGTTTTTGTGCTTGGTTAATGTGTGTTTTGGGGCTTTCTTTTTTTTTTTTTAAGTCTGCCTTAAGGGGAAGTGGACACTTCCCATGTGGAGACAGTGTGTATTTCTAGATTTGTCTAAGGCTCTCCCCATCATTAAGTCAGCAGTTTCTGATAATTCTGAAGCCCCCAGGCCTCAGACACCCTTCCCCGTCTTGCTTGCCCACCTGTGTGACTACCCTTGCTGTGGATTTTCCCCCCAGCATTCCTGGACTCATCATTCTTCCCCACCCACCGCTTTATCTATAAACGTAGGCCTAGAACACACTTCCGTGTTGCAAAACTCAGCCAAGGTCCTGTTTCGATCTTTACTTTGAAATATTTTAAATAAGAGAGCAGAGGGTATCCTGAAGATGACGAGAAGTGAGACATGGTTTCAACTTTCTGGATGAGAGCCGATGCAGGAGATCACGACATGTTTGGGAAAGAGCCTGATTAAACAGCAACAAAATAAATGGTCGGTGGGAAGTCATGTGGCTGTTGGTGTGACGTTCATGGTTGCTTCATGGCCATGGGCTGGAGTGAGGCAGGCCACACACGGGCCCTCTCCTGGCCCCTGCGATCCCTGACCTTCTGCACACACAACCAGGGCTCTCAGCTAGAGTATCCCAAGGGTTTGGAATCCCACACACAGTCAGTGGGTGTGTAGCACCTGGCCACCACCCAAGGTCAAGACCACACCCACAATAAAGTCTGTTTTCTGGCAGGGTTCCCCAGAAGGAAAAGCAGAGGTGAGCTTTCGGGAACAAGTGACTTAAGGAAGTGCCTCCAGGAGAAACCAGAGGAGTGCAGGGAGCAGGACCAGAAAAGGGAAGAAGCCGAGTGTGATTTCAGATGTGGCCTCAGCCTGGTCACAGGGCTCTGAGCAGAAGTGGCAGCTCAGTCATTCCATCTGGGGCCAAGTCTCATGACCTACACCAGTCAGTCGCTGGCTGTGGGGACTTCAACTCTCTGAACAGGCAAGGGGGTACCTGTAGCCCACAGGCAGTCATCTAAAGGGGATCACAGCTGTAGTTTTGCCATGCCTCTCGGCTTGCAGGATCTTAGTTCCCTGACCAGAGATTGAACCGCACCCCTGGTGGCTATAAAAGCGTAGGGTCCCAACCCCTGGATGGCCAGGAAATTCCCTGCAGCTGTGCTTATTAGCAGCAGAGTCCCAGGAGCTGGGGGAGGGGTTCCAAGAACCAGAAAGGGATCTGGGCGAAGCACCAATGTGCCCACTGCTCTGAGTGATAGCGTGTTCTCATAATACAGAGTTGCTGCACAGGATTTATGATTTAACCCATGGGCTTCCCTGGTGGCTCAGAACGTAAAGAATCTTCCTGCAATGTGGGAGGCTAGGCTCGATCCCTGGGTGGGGAAGATCCCCTGCAGGAGGGCACAGCAACCCACTCCAGTGTTCTTGCCTGAAGAATCCCATGGACAGAGGAACCTGGCGGGCTACAGTCCGTGGGGTCGCAAAGAGTCAGACATGACTGAGCGACTAAACACACATATAAAATCCATAGCCATGATCAACAAGGTCTTTGTGAATAAGCTCCTAAGGCCCTAAAATAGAATCACTTAACTGGTTACTGAGACTGGAAGCCACTTTCAAGCTCTTTGGGATGCACCTCGGGGCTTCCTACCTCTCAGCCCCATCTTGGGTTTCTGGACAGATATTCTGGTGTGAAATGAAAATCACCAGTGCTCTCATTCCTGGATGTCACCCACGGGTCCAGTCCTCTGAGGTCCTTCTTCCCTTTTATACCCAACTAACATGGCCTGAACCCATCCTTAATGGGGGTTTCCTGACTCACCTATGTCTGGAACTTCCCAAGGGATGCTAGTGTGCTAAATCCATCCTGCTGGTGTTTTCACATCTTGGCCACTCACTCACCTCAGAATTGCTGAAGGTCATCCAGAGACTTCTGGAACAGCACCTTCCAATAGAAACACAGTGTAAGCCACATATGTAACTTTAAATTTCCTGGTAGCCACATTTTTAAAAGTGAAAAACAGGTGCCATTAATTTAGTAATGTCTTCTTTATTGCAGTATATCCAAATTATTATCATTTCAGTAGGTAATCAAATTTTTAAAATATTAATGAAATATTTCACATTCTCTTTTTTAGTAGTAAGCTCTTGAAAGCTGATATATATTTTATATTTAAATCACATGTCTCTCAGAAAAACCACATTTTAAACATTCAGTAGCCACAAGTGGCTACCATATTGGGCTTCCTTGGTAGCTGGGGGTAAAGAGTCTGCCTGCAATGCGAGAGATGCGGATTTGATCCCTAGGTGGGGAAGATCACCTGGAGAAGGGCATGCAACCCACTCCGCTTTTCTTGCCAGGAAAATCCCGTGGATAGAGGAGCATGGTGGGCTGCAGTCCATAGGCTGCCAAGGGTCGTACATGACCAAAGTGACTGAGTGCAAGCTTGGGCACAGCTCCCACTGGACGGCAGAGTTATAGAGTCATCTCTTACCAGGCTGAGTCCCAGCTATAGAAGTAGATACATCATTAAACCCTCAGAATCCAGCTAGACTGACTGCAATGGCTAACAACCGTTGCTTGTTATGATACCCAGAAGAGAAATGGAGGAGAGGTATCAGCCCTCCTTGGCCCTGATGTGCAGCACCTTGCCCATCCAGAAGGTTCTCTTGCCTGAATTGTGG